CTCCCCAGGATGGGGGGAGATTGCCACTGTATGGGGAGTGGTGGTAATGGAAGGCTCTCCTGGGTGGGGGGAGGCTGGGGTGTTGTTGGTCAATGTCAGGCTCCCTTTGTGGGGGATGGGGGTGTTGGTCGGTGTCAGGGTCTCTCTGTGAAGGGGGGGAGCCAATTCTTGTGTTGCCTAGGGCAGCACAAAACCTAAATACACCCCTGCCTAACACCAATGACATCATAATATATTCTTATAATTTTTTGTTTCTGATATTCCCTGAAATACAAATAAAGATCATAGCCAATGGCAGCGTGTCTTTCCAATTCTGAATGTATTCCACAGATCATATTCTGGGGTTTCAAGATGTGCTGTGTAAGCTCTTTTATAGAAGCACAAGAAACGTTGAGGAGTGAAGACGCAGTGGCTGGCCAAGAAAACTGAAGTCACCAGATGATAGACATATCCCCGGCTTCCCTTTGACATCAGAATATGTCCACCAGTGCCATAACCAGTGACACCCAGGTACACCCACCTACTGCCTGGAGAAGTCTGAACAGGAGTGGTCTTCATGGATGAAAAACAAAATCATGTATAGTGTGATAGTGTACCATCCCGAGGAAGCAGATATAATCTGTGGAACGTGTTAGATGTAGGAAGGACATCCCACCATTGGCTACGATCTTCACCTGTCCATATAAGAAATTCTCCTTTTTGTTACTTTGTAAAGATGGACTGCAATCCACCAAAGCGTTGGGTAAGATAAACTCCACCTATTTGGACACATACTCCGACCCAAGACCCGCCGGTGCCGCTACTGTTTTTGTTTCCAGTGTTTATTAAATTTCCAGGTAGAAGTACAAAACAAGAGAGCCCTTACACAAAGAGTTAAACATTTATCATGAATAGAGGACAATCAGTTGTATCAGCACATGCAAGGATAGCACAAAAACTGAGAAAATGATAAGAATACATAACAGAAAATAATAAACCTTGTTATTGATGGAGATACAGAACAGAAAGGTCTCCTGTGGCCCTCAAGCCCTGCGGGGGAAGTTAAGGACTTCCCAGGCCAGGCGAGGTCATCCCATCCAAGTATGCTTTGGTGAAGGTTCAGACTCTCTAGAAAAGGCTTTTATTGGAATTTACCTAGAATAGGGTCTGATCCCGTCCAATCATATCATCCCTTTTCCAAGGATCGAACAATTATTTACTGTTTTCTAAAAAAAACAAAAAGAAATGGCAGACTCGATGGGCCACTCCATCTATTTCTGCTGTCACTTTTCTATGTTTCTATATGTCTACAAAAGTTACAGTGTTACTAAACCCACAACAGTACAATCAGTCTGTAGATGCAGGAAAGCATGCTTGTTATACTCACTGTGGAACCTAAGGGGTTAATCCTCAGCATTGTGTAAAAAGGCTGTTTGATCCTGTCTTCTCTGATTCTCCCCTTCTTTTGCTGTCCCCAATCCTCTTGCTGATAGATCAAAGCCTTGGGGGCAAGCTTCACATGCTCAGTTTGGTGTGTATATCCAAAGTTTTTTTTTTTCTTGGGAGAGTGCATGTAATCAGCACAGGGCCAATCAACACTGTCTAGACAGAGGGTCAGGGGTCATTCAGTCTCATTGGACAATCAAGGGAGAATAAAAACTTCTCCTACAATATTTAATCAGTGTTCGGCTGGACACTGATAGAAGTCACAAAACTCTATACTGCTGATGAGAAAAAGTATTTCGTAGTTTATAGTTACTAAAATATAATTTCATTTCCATGTTCTGTGTACTGTGGGAGACCGGATATAGTGAATGCGGGGTCCGGGAAGAGCGGATATAGTGAAATGCGGGGTCCGGGGAGAGCGGATATAGTGAATGCGGGGTCCGGGGAGAGCGGATATAGTGAATGCAGGGTCCGGGGAGAGCGGATATAGTGAATGCGGGGTCCAGGGAGAGCGGATATAGTGAATGAGGGGTCCGGGAAGAGAGATATAGTGAATGCGGGGTCCGGGAGAGCGGATATAGTGAATGCAGGGTCCGGGGAGAGCGGATATAGTGAATGGGGTCCGGGGAGAGCGGATATAGTGAATGAGGGGTCCGGGGAGAGCGGATATAGTGAATGAGGGGTCCGGGGTCTGAGAGCGGATATAGTGAATGCGGGGTCCGGGGAGAGCGGATATAGTGAATGCGGGGTACGGAGAGAGCGAATATAGTGAATGCGGGGTCCGGGGAGAGCGGATATAGTGAATGCAGGGTCCGGGGAGAGCGGATATAGTGAATGCGGGGTCCGGGGAGAGGGGATATAGTGAATGCGGGGTCCAGGGAGACCAGATATAGTGAATGCGGGGTCCGGGGAGAGATGATATAGTGAATGCGGGGTCCGGGGAGACCAGATATAGTGAATGCAGGGTCCGGGGAGTGTGTATAGTGAATGCAGGGTCCAGGGAGAGCAGATATAGTGAATGCGGCGTCCGGGGAGAGTGGATATAGTGAATGCGGGGTCCGGGAGAGAGCGGATATAGTGAATGCGGGGTCCGAAGAGACCGGATATAGTGAATACAGGGTCTGGGGAGAGCGGATATAGTGAATGCGGGGTCCGGGGAGACCGGATATAGTGAATGCGGGGTCCAGGGAGAGCAGATATAGTGAATGCGGGGTCCGGGGAGAGTGTAAATGGTGAATGCGGGGTCCGGGGAGAGCGGATATAGTGAATGCGGGGTCCGGGGAGAGTGTGTATGGTGAATGCAGGGTCCAGGGAGAGCAGATATAGTGAATGCGGGGTCCGGGGAGAGCAGATATAGTGAATGTGGGGGTCCAGGGAGACCGGATATAGTGAATACAGGGTCTGGGGAGAGCGGATATAGTGAATGCGGCGTCCGGGGAGACCGGATATAGTTAATGCGGGGTCCAGGGAGAGCAGATATAGTGAATGCGGGGTCCGGGGAGAGTGAAATGGTGAATGCGGGGTCCGGGGAGAGCGTCTATAGTGAATGCGGGGTCCGTGGAGAGTGGATATAGTGAATGCAGGGTCCGGGAGAGAGCGGATATAGTGAATGCGGGTCCGGAGAGAGCAGATATAGTGAATGCGGGGTCCGGGGAGAGCAGATACAGTGAATGCGGAGTCCCGGGAGAGCGGATATAGTGAATGCAGGGTCCGGGGAGAGTGGATATAGTGAATGCGGGGTCCGGGAGAGCGGATATAGTGAATGCAGGGTCTGGGGAGAGAGCGGATATAGTGAATGCAGCATCCGGGTAGAGCGGATATAGTGAATGTGGGGTCAGGGGAGAGCGGATATAATGAATGCGGGGTCCGGGGAGAGCGGATATAGTGAATGCGGGTCCGGGAGAGCGGATATAGTGAATGCGGGGTCCTGGGAGAGCGGATATAGTGAATGCAGGGTCCGGGGAGAGTCGATATAGTGAATGCGGGGTCCGGGAGAGTGATATAGTGAATGCGGGGTCCGGGGAGAGCGGATATAGTGAATGCGGGGTCCGGGGATAGCGGATATAGTGAATGCGGGGTCCGGGGATAGCGGATATAGTGAATGCAGGGTCTGGGAGAGCGGATATAGTGTGATGCGGGGTCCGGGGAGAGCGGATATAGTGAATGCAGGGTCCGGGGATAGCGGATATAGTGAATGCGGGGTCCGGGGAGAGAGGATATAGTGAATGCAGGGTCCAGGGAGAGCGGATATAGTGAATGCAGGGTCCAGGGAGAGCGGATATAGTGAATGCGGGGTCCGGGGAGAGCGGATATAGTGAATGCAGGGTCCAGGGAGAGCGGATATAGTGAATGCGGGGTCAGGGGAGAGCGGATAAAGTGAATGCAGACACATTAAATAAATATATAGATACCTGGGCATATATAGCCAATCTAGTGGATTCATGGGCCAAGCTATTCCGATAACTGTTACGTAGGATGTACTTGTTCTTTTTGTACAATGACACTAATTCAGTTTTATGTATGTTGCAGATTGCGGTGTTAGAAGTGAACATTTCGGGGGGGCAGCAGGCAATGAGGCTGGGAGTAACCATGAAGACAAAACTTTTCTGTAACAAGAACATTTGCTTAGACAAGCGGGGTGAGCTTGTTGGGAAACATCTGAGGGGAACAGGCGATGGAATTGTTGGTAACCCGTGAAAACAAAACTTTTGTGTAAAGAGACATTTTCTGAGCCAATAGGAGAGAAGCTTGGTGGCCATGAAGTAGTCTGGCTATTGTACGCACGTCTGTTCACATGGGTGTGTCATGCATGGCGCTGCATGCTGCAGTTTGACTTTGATAACGTATAAATGCTCACATGTTCTTTTTTGTGTGTTTTGGGAAAAGCTACGGCCGACGGGTTGTGAGTAGGTGACCCGGGGAACCTCTGCTAATAAATGAAGACACACCCATGAAGGGACTATTTAGTTATTATGGGAAATCAAACTTATCAGCCTGAATTCACTTTGCTTGGCCTCTCTGATCTCACATATTATCGAGTCCCGCTCTTTCTGCTTTTTCTTTTTATCTATTTGGCCACACTGGCTGGGAATCTTTTCATCATCTTCCTGGTGGTCACAGACTCCCACCTGCAGACCCCCATGTACTTTTTTCTGGGGAACCTTGCGGTTTTAGACATTATTACGCCCTCAGTGTCGGCATCACAATTGCCTCTTTACATCTTTACAGGTAGCAGGCTGATGGTATATTCGTCTTGTATAGCCCAGGTCTTCTTCATCTCCTGGTTTGTGATTACGGAGGCGTTCCTGTTAGCGGCGATGTCCTACGATCGATATGTTGCCATCTGTCATCCTCTACATTACACAGTCATGATAACTAGTCAGTTGTGTGTTCAGTTGGCGTCCAGCTGCTGGGCCATTGGCTCCCTCTGCTCCTTGATGCACACACTTTGCTCCTTACGGTTGACCTTTTGTGATTCCACCACCACCATCCCGGGCTTGTTCTGTGAATTGTACCAGCTGATACAACTGTCCTGTTCTGACACGTTCCTCAATTATTTGCTTGTTTACCTGCAGACCTTGAGTTTAGGGGTCGCTGCCTTTTCTGTCACTTTTCTCTCCTATGTTTATGTCTTTAAAACCATTGTGGGAATAAAAATGAAAGACGGACGGTTGAAGGCTTTCTCCACCTGCAGTTCCCACCTCACGGTGGTCTCCATCTATTATGTGACTTCCTTCTTCAATTACTTCCAGCCACAAGCCAAGAATTTTCTAGCAGGCAGACTGGTGTCGGTGGTTTATAACGTTTTCACCCCCTTTCCTAAATCCTGTATTATACAGTTTAAGAAACAGCGAACTGAAAGGAGCTCTGAACAGATCTCTGGTGCGAATGGGCTTTCGGGATTGAACCATCTCTGCAGAACAAGATTGTTTATTTCCCAATAGTATGAAGGATTTACAACAGTTTCGTAATTTGTTTTTTAATGTCTTGGAACTTCGAGGTGGTATCACACCCCAGCTGTGCTCCATCGTACAGTAGGTACCCTTCAGTGCTGGCCACCTGCTGACTCTGTGGGTCAGACACAGGAGACATGATACACATCTTCTGGTCTTGCCCACTGCTCCATACATTTTGGACACAAGTTCATTCCATAGTACAGAGGTTCATGGACTGTCCAGTACCGTACACCCCAGGATTGTTCCTTCTACATCATTCCAACATTCCATATACAGTACACCAGGGGCAGGGGTGGACTGATCATTTGGAAACTCGGGCACTATGAGATGCCCCTGGTACCTTTTTCATAGGCTTTTTTGAGTTTGGGCAAGGACACAGGGGCCCCATGATCCTCTATTGCCCGGGGGCTCCATGAGTTGTCAGTCCGCCCCTGCACCAGGGCTTAAAATTTTGAGTCTAGACCTACTAGCCAGGCACAAACCTTACTCTCCACCAGTTTCCATACCCAACCTTACCCAAGTCCGCCTCTAATCCCACCCCTGTCCCGTCCCCTTGCATTTGGCGAGCGGGCAAGCGGCTTTTTCAACCCCTGCAGTACACAAATGATCAGTTATTAGGCATTTTGCTAATACAGCCCACTCCTGTATCCCCAAACCCTGGAGATCTTCTACCTCACCCTCTTTGTCTCTTTGGTTTTGAAAGATTGAAGATATAAGGATGATGAAAACCTGTCTAGAGATGTTCACGATGGAAACATTTATTTTGTTTTGGATTTGTTCCTTAAGTTAAAGTGGTAGTAAAGCTAAAAACAAAGGTGAAGGCATAATGTGCTGCTATGCATTGTATACTAGTACATCATGAAGGACTTACCTTGAATCGAAGCCCTCCAGCGGCACGTTGTCACCACTGCAGAGGCTTCCATCTTCACCCGGTCTTCCTTCCGGGTTCGCGGGTTGTGGTGCTTGAATGGCCGAGACGGGATGACATCACTCCCATGCATGTGCCTGGCAGTCATGGCCGTGAAACAGAGCTCTGAGGGAATGGCATGGGTATGGTGTCCTTCAGAACACATGTACCCGTAATATCATCGGCTGCCGCTCACTAGAATATATTCCAAATGCTTCACGTTTAGGAGATATTAATTGTATCTACAGGTAAGCTTCATCATAAATAATAAAAAAACATTTAGTTTACCATCATTGGAATCATTTTGTTTTGTCATAATAATTACGTTAGAATGATTTGTTTTTGGAATTAGTTTTGTATATTCATTATTTTCAAATTGATTTAAAATTCAAATTTTGGAAGGCATCTATATTCATTTTTTTTTCTTTGTTCCTTCATTTTTTATTCTATTCTTTTATATTCTATTTTATTCTTTTATTTTAAATCTATTCTGTTTTATTCTATTTTTTTCCTTTATATTATATTATATTCATGTATATTATATTGTATTCTTTTCTTTTCTATTCTATTCTTTTTTTATTCTAGTCATTCTATTATTTTCTTTTATATTCTATTTTATTCATTTATTTTCTATTCTATTATATTCTGTTTTACTCTATTATATTCCCTCATATTATATTCTATTCTTTTATTTTCTATTCCATTCCAGTCTATTAATTATATTATATTTGATTCTATTCTATTTGTTTCTAGTCTAAGCATTTATTTTCTAATCTATTTTATTCTATTCGGTTTTATTCTGTTCTATTAATTTCTAGTGTATTTTATTTTATTCTATTCCTTTACTTTCTATTCTATTCTGCTCTATTCTTTCACATTTTATTATGTTTTATTCTATTCCTTTATTTTCTATTCTATTATATTCTGTTTTATTCTGTTCTATTCCATTCTATTTTATTTAATTTATTACATTCTATTCCGTTTTCTTATTTTATATTATATATATACTATTCTTTTCTATTCTGTTATATAAAGCAGCCTAAGTATGAAACATCAACCTTTTTCACTTTTTTTACCCTACTGTATTTCTTGCAATATGTTTCCGTTTCAAATTCAAATTACTTTTCAAATTCATTTTGAATTTATTTTGAATTCAAATTTGGATCATTTGTTTTGTTATAATTTATTCCCCATTGGCTCTCTTGTATTAACTAAGCTCGAGAACTCATATCTGCCAACTTATAGAAAAGCAGAGATTTATTATTGTCTGTGTAGCATGCTGAACGTGTTCTGGACACGCATGAACATTATATGCAACTGTGTAACCCTCCCCCCTCTCAGAAATCCATGTATGGTGCTATCCTGTCTACAGGGCAGTCTGAGTGGTCGGTTAGGTCTTTGTTTTCCTATTACAATATTTATTTTTCATTTCTACTGCTTGGAAGTATATTATATATTCTAAGTATATTTTGTGCACTTGTTTTGTAACCTTTTGTTAAAATTTTAATAAAGACAGAATGAAAAAAAAAATCTTGAAACAAATTTATTTTGTCTGAAGACATGTAAAGTGTAATGGTTTGAATCTCCTGTGTGTGAGCTGCTGGGTTTACAGTGCCTTGAAAAAGTCTCCCTCCCCCCTGAAATGCCCCCCATGTTGTCATGTTACAATGTATTCCCCCCCCCCCTGAAATGTCCCCCATGTTGTCATGTTACAATGTATTCCCCTCCCCCCGAAATGTCCCCCATGTAGTCATGTTACAATGTATTCCCCTCCCCCCTGAAATGTCCCCCATGTTGTCATGTTACAATGTATTCCCCCTCCCCCCTGAAATGTCCCCCATGTTGTCATGTTACAATGTATTCCCCCCCCCTGAAATGTCCCCCATGTTGTCATGTTACAATGTATTCCCCCTCCCCCCTGAAATGCCCCCCATGTTGTCATGTTACAATGTATTCCCCCTCCCCCCTGAAATGTCCCCCATGTTGTCATGTTACAATGTATTCCCCCTCCCCCCAATGAAATGTCCCCCATGTTGTCATGTTACAATGTATTCCCCATCCCCCCTGAAATGTCCCCCATGTTGTCATGTTACAATGTATTCCCCCCCTGAAATGTCCCCCATGTTGTCATGTTACAATGTATTCCCCCTCCTCCCCTGAAATGCCCCCATGTTGTCATGTTACAATGTATTCCCCCCCCCTGAAATGTCCCCCATGTTGTCATGTTACAATGTATTCCCCCTCTCCCCTGAAATGTCCCCCATGTTGTCATGTTACAATGTATTCCCCCCCCCCCCCTGAAATGTCCCCCATGTTGTCATGTAACAATGTATTCCCCCTCTCCCCTGAAATGCCCCCATGTTGTCATGTTACAATGTATTCCCCCTCTCCCCTGAAATGCCCCCCATGTTGTCATGTTACAATGTATTCCCCCCCCCTGAAATGTCCCCCATGTTGTCATGTTACAATGTATTCCCCCTCCCCCCATGAAAATGTCCCCCTCCCTCCCATGTTGTCATGTTACAATGTATTTATTGGGATTGGATGTGATGGGACCGACACAAAGTGGCACATAATTGTGAAGTGGAAGGAAAATGAGAAATGGTTTCAACATTTGTGACCAATAAATCTGTGAAAAGTGTGGCGGCATTTGTATTCAGCCTCCCGGAGTCAATACTTTGTAGGACCCCCTTTGGCTGCATTTCCAGCTGCAAGTCTTTTTGGGGATGTCTCTTTGCACATCTAGAGAGGAACATTTCTGCCCGTTCTTCTTTGCAGAATCGCTCAAGCTCTGTCAGATTGGATGGAGGGCGTCTGGGAACAGCAATTTTCAGGTCTGGCCACAGATTCTCCATTGGATTTGGGTCTGGACTGTGACTGGGCCATTCTAACACATGAAGATGCTTTGACTGGAACCATTCCATTGTAGGTCTGGCTGAATGTTTCGGGTCGTTGTCCTCCCCCCCCCCCCCATCTCAACTTTCGCAGATTTTAACAGGTGGAAAATTTCAAGGGTTAGGAATACTTTTTCAAGGCAATGTATATCAGATTCAAGTTATAACTGAACAATAACAAGTGAAACTCTGTGGAAAGATTTCACAATAGTTGAATGCTCCATGGAATGTTCACCAGAGAATGCCAACTTTGACAATTTAAAGTTTAAGTCTGAAAGATAAATATTTCAGTAAATATTAATATTTGATATAATCGAGGAATGGGGAATCCCTCCATTATAAACATAGTGTTTGATGTGGAGATGAACAAAGTAATACGAATCCACGTTGAGGCAGTTGATGAAGATCCCCATTAGGATCTTATGTTGGGTTCTCTTTCATGTGAAATCTAAAATCTGAGATATAACTTTCCCTATCGAGTTTCTGCACAGATGGCGGACATTCTTAATCTGACCACATTGGCAGGTCATTTGCTCCAAGCACATTTCCATTCACCAATGATCTACAAGAACAATTAAAACGCTCTTAGGGCTCGTTCACACTAGGCTGTTTTGCCAACGCTTGCCAAACGCCCCTATAGCGTTTGGCAAGCGTTGGTCCGGTGTTTGCGGAGCGTTTTTAACGCTCGGCAAACGCTCCGCAAACGCCGCATGCGCGGTTTAGCGGCAGTTGCTAGGCGTTTGCCGAGCGTTAATAACGCCCCACAAACGCCTATAATGCATTTGAGTGGTGTTACCGCTCTCGCAAACGCCCCGCAAACCGCGTCGCAAAACGCACCGCAAACGCCGGCCGGGCGTTTGCGGAGCGGCACCATAGACGAGAATAGGAGGCTTCAAAGCCTCCTGACTCGACCAGAGGCGTCCGTTTTGCCGCAACACAACGCGACGCGACGCAAACGCTCCTGTTAGAACAGCACCATGTGCTGTAATGTGCAGAGTTGGCAGAGGCGTTTGGGAAGCGGTAAAAACGCTTCCCAAACGC